ATAACCTAATCATAAAAAATATATTTTCGGTCAAATTATTGTTAACAATTGCCACCTAAATTAATATTGAGTATTCAATTCTTGAAGACAAAAGTAGGGACGTTATATCGAAACATTTCTTTCGATACTTTTACTCGTATCGAATCGAAAGCCTAATATCGATACCTGCAAAATATCGAAAGAAAGTATCGATATTACTCATATCGATATAAAAAAAAAAGGTCTTTGGCTATACGACTAAACTTTGCAAATTGCAAGCTNCCTGCAAAATATCGAAAGAAAGTATCGATATTACTCATATCGATATAAAAAAAAAAGGTCTTTGGCTATACGACTAAACTTTGCAAATTGCAAGCTGGATTTTTTTCTTTTACCGGATGCACTGTATAGTTATCTCCTATACCATGGTGTAGGGTTAACTAATCATTATAATTTTATTGTTCTGTGATAATATTAATTTTTACGGGTTTTCATAAGATTAAGTCACGATTTAAGATTAGTACTATCTTAAATCGTAGATTAAGTTACAAAAAAAAAACATATAATCATGTAATATATTATATTAAATATTTTATTTTGTTTTTCTGTATACAAATTAATAAATAAATAAGTAAAAAAAAAAAGTTTCAATCGATTATTAATAAAATTACTTAATCTTGTTCATGTGAACCATTCCTGTTCTGAAAAGTCTGCCATAAATAGAAGTTTTTCCATCCTATAAACTTGTCAAACGGTTTCTTGCCTGGTTCATAGTGGCGCCAGCTTTCGAAAATAATCGCTCACAGGGTACTGAAGTGGCAACAATAGAAAAATGTATCCTGGCTTGCTTATACAGCAATGGGAATACATTCTTCATGTCTTCCCATTGCTCCAACGGATCAAAAGATAGAGACGTCACTGGATTAGCCAAATATAGTGACAACTCGTCACTTGCATAAACAGGGTTTGATTTCTTTTTTTTATTGCCTTGATTATGAACCAACTCTTTATGTGTTGCCCAAAAGTCATAAGCTACTTCTACTGAGGTTTCTCCTTCTGATTCACTAGATGACATTTCGGTTCTCATTAAATTTCTTAATGCAGACATTGCTCTGGAGCATGCATTAGGATCGCTGAAATGTAAATTTTTAAACCTCGGATCCAAAAGTGTAGAAATTGCTATTTGAGTAACATACTGAATTTTCCCAAATCGTTTAACAAGCTCCAAATTTAGTTTATTATGGACATCATGAATAATGCCCTCGCTGGGTTTCAATAAACTAACCTGCGACATTAGACAGTTCACCATTGGGATGATTTTGGAAATTGTGACATATTTGTCACCAGAGGACTCTCTGGTGACAAATTCTAATGGTTTTAGTAGTTCAATAAACTGTTTGATTGTATTTATTTCTATGGCTGTGGGCATTGCTGGTGCTGTTATATGCTGCAATGTAATAGGGCTTATAATATTGACCATTTCAATAAAACGCTGCAACATATAAAAGGTAGAATTCCATCTCGTCTTCACATCCAATACCATTTTTTTAACACAGCCTTCTGGGACTCCAGATTCAATTTGCACTTTTCTTAATGTATCACTAATAATAACGCTTCTTTTTATCCAAAGAACAACATTACGAACTTTTGTAATGAGTGGCTCAATACTTTGATGTTTGACTACAGACTCTGATACTAGATTTATTGTATGAGCAAAACATGGCGTGTGTTTATTTTTACCTAAAACATTGTTGACTGAAGCAATCATATTAGCGCCGTTATCTGTTATGATGGTTACTATTTTTTCTTTGTTAATATTCCAATTTAATAATATGTTATTCAATATACATTCAATATATTCAGCTGTATGCCTCTCTTTTAATTCACGGACGGCCAAGCATTGTGATTTAAGTACAGTATTTTCTAGGAAGTGAACGGTTACACCAAGGAAGCTAGTTTCTGTCATTGTCTCTGTCCAGACATCAAAAGTCAATGACATATGTTGTACATCTTCTAGTGTTTGTATAAATGATATTTTAGTGATTTCATATTTATCATCGAGTACTTTTTTGAGGGTGGCTGGACATGGGACCTTGTACGAAGGCACTAGTTCTTTCATTAATCTTTTGAACCCTGCACCTTGAACTATGTGAAATGGTCTTCGATCTTTACAAATGAAATATAGTAACGTCATTGTTGTTCTTGAATGCAGTAGCCCACCCTCTGAAGTAAAATAAAAGATATTTAGTGTAAATAACAAACATAAATTTTAAATTTACATTTTCCCCTACTTTAAGTATAGTTAAAATAGTTGAAAAAACAATTTTTTGGTTTGAAAAAAGTTACATTATCTTTTTACCTAAAATAATATAAATGTGTATTATTTACCTTTAAAGGAACTTAATCTTTTGAACGATTCAACAATTGGCTGTCTTAACACTGTTATTGTATCATTGTATGGAACTGGATCATCTACCTGCTATGTGAATAAACACCCGTTATGTTAATTAAAACACAATATCATAAACACTATTATTTTTACCTGTTCTATTTGTTCGTCTGCAGTACATGGATGAATAGTCATCGATAACGAAGTACTCTGAACGGGATGAACGCTAACATTTAAACAGTACATTGTATTGAAATGATATTATAGTAATTTATTAAATACATCTAAAATTGCTTATTATTACCTTTGACCCATAATACTAGTTAATCTAGTTTGAGTATTGCTATTATTTTTCAGAAATTTGTTAAGCGCTTCAGTTGACTTTGGGACATTTGGATGTTTCAAAAGGTGTTTCATTAAATTCGACGTATTTCCACAATACTTTACATCCACTGAACACAATTTACATTTAGCCAATGTACTATCGAGCTTAGTGAAGCATATCCATACTTTACTTCTGGGAGGTGCCATGACTAGAACATATTTACAACATACAATGATTATTTTATATATTTTCCGTAGTATAAACTATGTCTATGAATACCTTACTACAGCTATCAACGATGTAATTCTCTTAAACGTAGCAGATATCACAATAATTTACAAGTCACAACACTAAGTCAATACTCACTAGCACAACTGCACAACCATTTAAAACATTTATTGTTTAC